TTCCTGTCTCTGTTCTTCAAATTGAAATTCAATCTGCATCTCTCCTGAACAGAGCATGTGCCTCTTGTAAGGTATGAGTGATTGTATGTGTGATCATGCAGCTTTGACTCTTAGGCACTTTAGGATCTTTCAGGGACACTGTGCTTACCTCAGGAAGTATAAAACTGCAACCTTTGTTCTAAATAAATGATCAACTATCTAGATTTGCACATATGAGAAAAACACACATGGAAATATAATAAAAGGCTAGAGAGTAATAAAATCAGAACAGGATATGAATATAAATGAGTATATTAGCAGTGAAGTAATGAAGCCTGGCTTTCTTCAAGTTTGGACTTCATGTTTGATTTACTGGTATCAAAAAGGTGCAAGAGAGAATCAAAACTTTTGTTCTTGTTGAGCTTTTACAAGGTCTTTGTGTGGACTGTTTGCTGCATCCAGACATCCATTGAGATGGATTTCTGTAGCATCTCTGTGTTGTGCAGCAGCATAATTTCATAGCACTTGTGGGAAACAACTCATCTTGGTAAAATGTAATTGAAATTAGCAAACGGTTTGGAAGTGAATGGCAGGAACAAATATATGTGTGTAAACTCACACACATAGACATGTTCTGAACACAGTTGGGTAAACTCTATACTCCATACGGAATCATAAGGCAAACAGAGAGAATAGAACATTCAGGGAAATCAGGTTTGAGTTAATCATAGAATCGTTTTGGTTGGAAAGACTGCTAAAAACAATGAGTCCAAATGTAAAGCCAGCACTGCCAAGGCCCACCAGTAAACCATGTCACTGAACAGTGGAAAGATTTGTTGGTTATATTCAGAAATGATAAAACTGTCAATATTTTTTTGAAGCTATTAAAATTTTTACAGAGTAAATTATGTGATTATTATCCCAGTAGTAACATATGGATCTGTAGCAGAGCTCTCAACTTAAAATAATGTAGGCTTCAAAATTAGTAGGTGCTCATGGCTATTGGTAGTCTGAATGATTTGAAGAGAAAACATAATGCCCAGAATTTAATTAAGACGTGTGTTAAAATGAAGCAACTCTTAGTAAAATTCAGCCCTGTAACTAGAAGGTTTTATAGGAAGCAAATTGAAACCCTCTGGATGAATGACTCTGGGAGAAGAGATATTTCCCCTCTGCTTTGGATGCAGCAGCTGTAAGACTTGATGAATGTGCTTCCACCTCTGTGTGGTATCGCCAACTTGTTATCAACTGCCACCACCATTTTTATGATCTCTAAATCCTATAGGCACCTGTTCCCAAACCCATTGAAATAAACAAAGCTCAGACTTTTGCTGTGTTGTCTGTTGTGAGGTAAACAACGTCCCAGTTTGCATTCTAATTATTTCAACCTTAAAAGGGAGAAGGAAGGTGGGTGGTGCCAAGGGCCTGACTGTGCTGGTTCTGCAACTTAAATGGTGAGCCTGAGTAAGAGAGACAGGAGCTTGTCTTCTTTTCCTCCAGTGAGTTACTGGGTTCTTATACTTAGAAATAGTCTAAGCTTGGCACAATTTCTGTTGCCATCATGTCGATCAGGGTTTAAATAAAGACCTATAGCTCAATTTAATAATGAAAAATATTACTTACATGTTAATGTGTTATAAAGACACTATTTGTAATGCCTAGTAGTAGTAGTTTTATATATCTGTAAATATGTCTTGCAGTGTAAAGGTGGACCTTGTTTCATTTTCTGCTATGTTACAACTGCTACAACTCTCTTATTTCCATTCCCAATACAGTGGTTAAGATGCCTTTTTGGAATCATTATGATCACTGTACATTTTAATTTTCAATAGTGTTAAATCATCTCTTTGGAAATAATAGTAGAAACTTGGGGGGGGGGGAAAAGTCATACTTTTTAAAAACATATCAAGTTGTTTTCATAGAAGTAGTTTGCTGTCACCAGAATCTGAAAGTGTATGTGGGGTTTTTGCAGTGTGCTTAAAAATACCTCCTCATATCCCTGCAGCTGTCATTATTTTGTGTTTGGCAAATGGGAGATATAAATGTCAAAATTAGAGTGGTATGAACTATATAGAGTTATATAGTGTCTAGCATAGAAGCAGAATATAGAGACGTCTAAAATACTTGCAGAGAACTAATTAGGACATGTGCTGCTTCTGTGATTGCTTTGCATCAGGCCTCTGTGTTTGGAGAAGGAAAAGTGATACATGTTTACATTAATATTGAGAGAGATTCTTTTCTGCCCGGAGCTGTTTCTCTTGGTTAAGAACAGTAGGGTTTGAATGTCTGCAAATGCTTTATCATTTACAACCAGACAGTGGATCAATATAATTATAAACACAAAACACTGAAGTTTCTGCTGATGGAATGTGGGGCTGAGGAAAACTTTGTTATTGAGAAACTGTGAACTCAACTGTTACAGAAGACAGCAAAGAGTGTTTTTCCATTAGACTTGACCACATTTACACTGTTACTTTCATATTCAATTAAAATAAAACAGAAATCCACAATATCACTTTAGATGCATGTTTCATTTTGAAGTTGCAGGGAAATTAGGGTGACTTCTTTTTTTCTTTCCAAAGGTACGGGTGACAACGTTGAGATACAAACTCAGTGATCAGTGCCCACTGTCAAAGCTGAACCTAACTGCTTTACTTCAGCCTTCTCTTAATCTTATCTTTGTTTCCTGTGCAGCAGTCCATAAACATTGTGGAGCGTGCTTTTACTGCTATGCAAAGTATTAGTCTTTTTCTGAATCTCAGGATAAAATCTGTTTCTTCTTCAGAGGTCCAGATATTTGTGCTTATTGAGGATAGAAAAGTGCATGTCTTTTGTTTGTTTTGGAAAGCTCACCTGAGTGAGGGGCTGGAGCAAGCAAATGTCCAAGCAAGTACTCCGTGTGTTTTCTCAATTACTAGAACAACTCTTTACTGATTCTGTAAATGCATCCTTAGGATTGGTTATTATTAAGTGTGGGATTCGTCTACCTAAATGTCACTGTATGTAGCTGAGATCAGCTTCAGCTCCCATTATAGTAAAGGGAAACCGATGTGGTGGTAGTTGAGTGAATATCCTAAAAAGCCTGTGTTTATATTTTAAGTGCACCTAATCCGCACATGTCCCCACAGATCCCCCCTTCCCATTTTTTTCTTTCTCACACATGATGGGAATTACAAACTCCAGCACTTCTATAAGGCCAGCGCCCAGTCTCTTCTCTAAAAATAAACAATATATTCTATTAGAAAAGAGAGAGAGAGGAGCCAGGCTTAAATTAGAGGTCATAGATGTAGAGTTGTTTTGAAATTTGGCAGTTGACTCTGATAGGATTGGCAAGGAGATCTCCAAAAGGCTGCAACTGTAAATTGGAAATAAATGGAAAAAATAAATTGGAAATAAATGGCAGTGGGAGACATCTTTGAATCTATAATGCATGTCCTGATACTGACTTACTCATAAAAGAGCATGTGTTTAATGTGTCATAAAAATATTTAAGCCCCATTGGTCCTTGTATAAATATTTCATTTTTAAACTTGGATTCTGGCGTGGCTAGAAGTGTATTCAGCATGCGTATCTTTGCCATCGCTATGAAGGATTAAAAACAAGGATCACCAGAAACTGGGGTTTTTTTTCTCCTCTTTCAGACAAATATTCTCACAAGACTTTATGTTGTCTTTTGTGTCCAAATCAATTTTTTTTAGTCCTTGCTATATCATCTGTTTTGTTATATAGTATTCCTCTGAGAGAAGCTGTGGAGGGAGGCAGTTTGGAGGCAGAGTGAGTTGCTGCCAAGAAGGCATTCATCTATGAGTGTGTGAATGTGGGTGGGTGACTGAGATGTCCAAAAAAGACACTTGTCTCTGTTCCTCCAACTACTTCTGTTCCAAAGATGATGTATGTCTGTAAATAAAGCAGGATGTATTTTGAATGTGCCCATGTTTTCCATCGTTAATTTTTTCACTGTTAGGAAACTAAACTGCAAGAATCTGAACATCTGCTACCACCTGGCAGCTCAAGTGGCTAAAGAAAGGAATGAAACAGTTAGGAAAGACAACCTCTAAAATATTATTTTTCTTTCTGCTGTTTTCTTGAACTAAATAAGATCTTAATTTAGCTCAAAACTACTTAACATTGATGTTAGTACTGTGTCTAGGGAATGGTCTCTAGGGCTTTAAAAAAGACTCAAGTAATGACAGAGGGAGAGGGGGAAGCACATGACCAGAGCTGCACTTGCTGCATCACGCTGTACGAGCACTTGGCTAATGGCCCTTTTAGGATGCATGATAACTGTATATGTAACTGATGCCCGAGTCTGTACTTCCTCCACTTATAACAGCATGTGAAATTCATATTACTGCTGATTTCTCCAGTGTGGCACCAGTGCATAAGACTTAGACCTCCTTGGTTATGATTGTTTTGTACTGTTCCTCACAGGTGAAATCTGTGCTTTTAAAATCCACGGACAAGAAATGCCCTTTGAAGCTGTTGTGCTAAACAAGACATCTGGTGAAGGTCGTCTTCGGGCAAAAAGTCCTGTTGACTGTGAACTGCAGAAGGAATACACATTTGTCATCCAGGCCTATGACTGTGGATCAGGACCAGGTGGAACAAACTGGAAGAAATCTCACAAGTGGGTGAAAATGAGGAGAAATATTTTTTTGCTTTGGCATGCATTTGCTCTACAGGTCAGATCATATTGAAGGGCTCCTTTTTTATACTGTAGCCAGGTAGAAAACAAATAAAACCAAATTACTATTGTTGCAATAGTCAAGCCACGTTTTATTTCTTTTTCCTTTTAGAAAATATTTTTCCTTTTTGCCTCCTGCAGTTTGACCCATTCTGCAGTGGTTCCCGTTGAAGCTCTTAATAGGATCCCTGTTCAAGTGGAGAAATGGATCTCAGTTTGAGTTTAGTTTTCTGTTCTTGTTTTCATGTTAAATATATTGACTAAACAGATCAGCCAGGGCATGGAAGCTAGCTTTTAACTGGTACTTTACATATTCAGAATAGATTTTTCTCTCTTCTTCTTATTTCAAATGGTAAGAGAAGAGAAATCACCCTTTTTAGCATGTGCATGTGTATATGCTGCAGCAGTGTTGCCTTTGCACGGTGTGTTTCTGACCTCAGCTTTTGGACAGCAAGTCTCAGAGGAGTTAAAATCCTCTGGAAGAGGCAGGTATCGAATGTTAGTAAGTGGTACTTTTTAATGTGGAGGCAATTCCCTGAATAAGCTTAAGTGGCACAGTCCCTTTTTTCCCCTTAAATTAATGAAACTAAGCTCCAGACCATTTGTGATTAAAGATAAATGTAACTCACATGTAGATGTATAACTGCTGTACAAATCGTTCATTTTGCTGAGAGCCATTTAAATCAATGATTAATAGTAATCATTCTTCCTTTTGCTCATCCAGGACACAAGACAATTAAAAATTTAATTAGCTCTATAATGCATGCTAAACGTTTTCAGGATATTTAAAAAGAATACACATTTAGGAGGAAGTCTGCAAGATCAAATAACCATCAAGTCACAGAAAGAGGTTTTGCTTCGTGTTATTAAATTTTATGATGTTTTTCTCTCCCATATCCATAACAGGCTAGTATGTTTTCCACTTCCGGACAATTTTGGTCTAATCCTGAGAAAATGAAATCTGGCCCATCAGGACCAGACTTTGTTATGCTTCTGATGGTGGTTTCTATGCAAATCATATGTTAAGCCAGGCTGTCTGGGGTCCCAACCTTTACTACTGGCTCTGCCATTGGTCTAGAAAGTCTCTCCACTTCTATGTCCCTCTGTTTCTTTGCCTGTCAAATCAGATAGCAGGTTCTTTCAAACGAAGGCCTTTAGAGTTTGCTTATTAAATACTCAAGGCCTCTTATTTTTGACCCTTTGATGTACAATGTTGTAAGTAATTAAAGGATCAAATAATTATAATGAGCAGAAGGTGAGAGCCTTAGTTAATGTCCGAGAATATTCATAAACTGACCATTTTTAGGTAGTGAATATGTAAGACTACTGTAATTCTCTTCCTCTTTTTTTGCTTATTAACCCATTTTACACTGGAATGATACTGAGTTTCTGCTGGGATCCATTTTAAGAGACAGGCAGATTTTACCTATTTCCCCATTAAGATACTAAATTGGTCAAATTAAACATAGAAATTCAATAATCTCTCATTTTAACAGATGTTTACATAGTTTTCTAGATAGTGTCCTTTTAGTCTTTTCAAGTATTTTGAAAACAAACTGTCGGTGATGTGTCATGATAAATTAATTTGTCTCTTTGATTTCTTTACATATTTTAGGGCAGTGGTCCATATCCAGGTAAAGGATGTCAATGAGTTTTCACCAGCTTTCAAGGAGAGTGTGTATAAGGCCACTGTGACAGAGGGGAAGATCTATGACAGCATACTGCAGGTGGAAGCCATAGATGAGGACTGTTCTCCACAGTACAGCCAGATCTGCAATTATGAAATTGTCACAACTGATGTACCTTTTGCCATTGACAGAAATGGTGAGTATGGAGAAGGAGCAATTCTAAGTCTGGGACAGATAGCAGTAATTTCTGTAGATAGTGTGATTGCCTGTCATTACTACCTGATAACCTGGCTTGAGTTTTAACTCAAGAGAGTAGTCCTGTTCTCAGCTCCGAGCATGAAGGAACTGTTACACTAGAAATTCCATCCCTTTCATGTAAGATTTAGTGAGAAAATGCCACAGTAATTTACTGTGGAAATTAAACTCCCAGTTTTACATGAACAGTATGTTTCTCTGTCAGTCCTTTCTCTTTAATTGTCTCAGATCCAGTTTTCTATCCAAGTGATGACATTTCCCAATGCAGCATGTGGCTCTACATCACAGAGGTTGTTCACTGGTTTAGAGCTAGTCCCATTCTTCCAAACTTTGTGGAGCAGAGACTAAATGTAGAAGTGACAATATTCTGGATGTGTTTAATGATCGTTGAAACTTTGAGGGTGTGGGCCCACAGATCTACCTATTCATGGTGCTTTCTGAAGCAGCTCCATTATTCTGCAGCATGGGAGAAAATACACTTTGGAGAAGTAGTATAATTTTTAATGGTTACTGATTTTAGTTGGGGTTTTTACTGTATATAATATTATGGGAAAAATAATAAACTATAATAAAGTTTTCCATGTGCAGCCATTTTTGACCTTGATCACCTTGTCTGTCAGCTTCCTGCTTTTCCCAGTCAAGTTCTCACCCGAGAAAAGCACAGAACTTGACACAGTGTTTGGGAGAGGTGGCTGGGCTGCATTAAAAACCTGCCATTGTCTTCTTGCTTCAGATAATACAAAATAGTAGCTGTCTTTCAGGTACTTCAGCAGTCCGGTATCGGCATCACTTTGTAGATGAGAGTCCTCATTCTAAATATTTACATGTGCACACTTGTGCAGGAGTTCAGAATGGAAATTGCTGTCCTTATAGAACTTGTTTTCCCAGAACACGCACCTTGTGTGCATTCCCGCAATGCTCTGATTTATCTTTCCTAGCAAAAACATTTAATCCATGTTGGAGGAGAGTACTCTTTGGAAGTTAAACCTGATTTTTGGCCGAATTAAGAATTGAGAGCACTCATGGAGCTACTGTTTTCTTCAAGCAGTCATTTTC